ACAGTCAGCGCCCGGGTCGGACGACATAGCATGTATATCGCCGACTCTTGACCAGATGTTACCGCCACCAGAAACACAGCTTTCCAGGTCAACAACTGAATGGAAATAGCCGATAGGTGTGAGAAAGTGGGACGGACAGCCAATCGAGCCACGATCGACAAATCCCAAAGGTGGACTGGTTAAGCCTGAGAGCAGGTCGAATCCGTTCAGCGCCAGCTAGAAAGCGCTATGCACGAGGGTGCTGCCCCAGAAGAGCACCATCGACAGGGGGTGTGAAAAGTGGAAATAGCGGTGGAGTAGCCGCGAATGGTGAAGCAGCCAGGCCTTCTTCCAAGCGAGCTTGCAAAAACTCCAATACTCGGACTAAATCCGCAGAAAAGGGATCTGCAATCCCCTTATCTGAACACCAGCGCATAAGCGGGACCACCTATCCTCATACTGAGCGTTTGCCGAATCCGCCTCGAAGCCAGAATTGTGTCTGCAACTGCTGCAGGAATTCCGCGTGCCTCGAGGTTAGACCTGACAGAGGCCAAGCCACCCACTGAATCCGTGGATTTGGGTGGGAAGCTCCGTTCTGAGTGAGAATGTCCGGTCGCAAAGGTAATAGAACAGGAGGCTGAGCCAGAAACCTGAAAATTACGGAAACCAGCTCTGTGACTGGCCAAAGCGGTGCCAGTAGCACAAGTAGCCGAGCTGGCTGGGTGGACAGCTGTGAAAGGACCGCGGGGAATGAGTGGTATGGCGGGGGCACGCCCAGAGCACTTTGCCCGTCAATCCAGCAGGAAGGCGTCGGCAGCCAGCCCTCTGGTCGGTATCCGAGAGCAGAACCGCGGGTGTCTGATCGTCCGCCCGGGCGCAAACAGATCCACCTCGAGCGACCCGTACAACTGGGAGATTACTGTGAATATCTGCCTGTCGAGCATCCACTCGTGCGGGGCCAGGATCCGGCGAAGGCGCATCTGCTGCGCCGTTCTCCAGCCCGGGGAGATAAACAGGGAGTACCTGACAATGCGTACTGGTGGCTCCAGAGGAGAAAGTCCACGCTTCCCGGAGGAGGCGCTGGGGACACCGTGCCTCCCTGCTTCAGGATGTGCGACATGGCCGTCTGGTTGTCTAACTGAAGGCGGACTACCTGGCCCGCGGACATGCTCTCTGGCGCTCGAATACCAACGCACAGCTCTCAGCTCCAACACGTTGATGTGAAGGTGAGCCCGGCCGGACCAGAGTCGGAAGCCGACAGACTGCCAGAAACGCCCCCAGCCCGTGAGGGGGCGCATCTGTCTGAACTGTGAGAGCTGGCGTCCGGGATTTCCAAGGGAACCCCTGGTGAGATTCCGACATTTGTCCACCACTGAAGGTGAGGTGTCAACCACTTTCGGGGACTGTGAGACTGCGCTCCAGATCCTCCGTGTGAGTCCACAGCCGAGCCAAAGCTTGCTGTATGGGGCGCATCCTCAGCAGCGCCCGCCACACTACAGAGATCGTCGCCGCCATATGGCCCAGTAGGCGGAGCCAAGTCCGTGCTGGTGCCTGGGGCTGGGAGAGGAATGAAGATACCATCTCCCGAACTCTGGTGACCCGGTCGGGGCGACAAGGAAGCGAGATCCTTGTTCGTTTGGAATCGCTCCAAGAAAAACCAAGTCCTGGGTGGGTACCAGGTCGGATTTCTTGAGGTTGATGATCCACCCCAGTCGAGTTAGAATGTCTATCACTGTGTGAGTAGCATCTTGACTTCGCTGGCTGTGTTAGTGCTCCGAGCAACCAGTCGTCTAGGTAAGGGTAACAAGCGCCTTCCTTGCGGCGAGCTAGGGTAGCTGGGACTAACATGAGCTTGGTGAACACCCTTGGGGCGGTCGATATGCGAAGGGAGCACCCTGAATTAGTAATACATCCCGTCGTAAAGAGAGCGGAGGTACTGCTTGAGCGAGGGATGTATGGGTATCTGAATCACGCATCCTTTAGGTCGATTGGCGTGAGCCAATCGCCGGGCTGAACAGATGAGATCACCGGCGCAGTGTCTCCATCTTGAAGGATGGTGCCGAGCATCGCGATTCAACCCCTTGAGGTTGAGAATCGGGGCCGGAACCCGCCGTCTTTCTTGGGACGAGGAAGTGCGTGGAGTAAAATCCGCCTGTTCCTCTCCCGGTGGAATGCGCTTCGATTGCGGACTTGTCCAGCAGAGCCTGAACCGTCGGCGCAATATGTCGCCCTGGCCTGGCATGGCGGCACGAGTCGCGTCGTATGCGGTGAAGTCGAGGCGGACCACCGCTTCCACAGTGGGAGATGGCCTATGCTGACCGTGGCCAGCACCCAAAGCGTTGTTGGTAGCCTTCTCCCATTCCGGCAGGAATAGAGAAGGCGACCTCCCACTGGGATATGGGGTAGGAAGGGCGTGCGTGGACCCTAGTAGCGGAGCTGACTGGGTGTGACACCGCGGCTTGGCGGCAGCCTGTTGGGTTAGCGGGAGGTCGGGGCAGACCTCCAGCGCCAGCTTGAGGCTGGGAGCTAGTCGAGGACTGCTCCTTGCCCCTACCCTTGGCGGACCTACTCCTCCGCCTACCCCTACCAAGCGGCGAAGCCAGCCGGCAGACTTCGGGTGTAGGCTGCACCCGGCGGAGGAAGGTGGCGGGGAGGCGGAGGCGAGACACCAGCGGGTGCTCAACAAGGCCTTAGAATCCTTGAAGGAGGTAGCTGCAGCGGCAGCCTCCCGTATGACCTGCTGTGCCCGGGGAAGAGGGTGCGGCTCCCAGGCGGAAAGGGAGAGCCAGCAAGGTCTGCTGTGTTGCTGCCGAGTACCTAGGCGTCGACAGCCACAGCCTGCGCATCCCCATGACTCGCGCACATCACCGTCGGCGCAGCAGACCGCCAAAGAGTCAGCGAGGTGAGCCTGAACTTCCGACAGCTGGCGAATTAGCCGCGACATCGCGGCGACGCGTCGCCAGCATGCCCCTCCGCCTCAGGGCCGACCTCTGTATCGAGGAGAGGTAGGCCTCATGGTTCCACCACCCGCACCTGCTGCATCAGCGTTCCGGTAGACCTCCTGCGTAGGTCGATGCAGCGTGCCGCGAAGCGCCAGCGAGGGCAAAAGGTGGAGTGAAGCCCTTGCCGAGCAGCGGGCTGCTCGAGGAGGAAGCCGAGCCTCCCAGAGGCGGCGGAAGTGAAAACACACTCGTCAGCGATCGGTACGACGAACAGGGAATCCTCCCAAGCTGGTAGCGCCCGCCGCGAGTTCAGGTAAGTCAAACCTGACTCGGGTACCAGACAAGAGGGGATCGACCCGTCCGCGACCAGCGATGGCAGAATGCGGGCTGCGTCTGTGAGGGTTGCCTAGGGGCAAGCGCCTCGCCAGGCAAAGCGGAACTCAGTCGAGTCCACGCTACCAGCAGGCACGCTGGCCTGGGGTAGGCCCTCGGCAATTCTCTGCGGACCTCCCGCCAAGGCGAAGCAAAGCGGAAGCCGCCCGTCATGCTCCTCGACCTCCCCAAGCTCCATTGCCTGCGGCGTCGAGGCCGAGTCAGAGGCTGGGTCTCCTCCGTAAGAGGACCCTAACCCGACCCGGTGGACTGCCTGGCGCTGGGCACCACAGGAAGGAGGAACAGACCGACTGCTCCCCGTCAGCGCCAGCCCGGCGTGCGTGGACCCGGTCCCGAGGCGCTGGAGGCAGGCCAGGCAGAACTGGTGCCTCGGCTCTCATGGGGGCGGGTGTGCGCAGGGACGGAATACCAGGAATACTCAGCGGCCCAAAGCGCCAAGCTCGAGAGGGGACTGGGAGCACCTCCCTCTCCCGGAGCAGCCGAGGCGTCGGATTCGAAGCCAGAGGCAGCGGATCGACAGGCGCCTCAAGGCTGAGGATCTAGCCCGAGGCCCGGCGATCCCACCCGGACTCTCCGCCCCCCGTCCGGAGTGGGCGAGGAACTCCTGGCGGAGACCTCCAACCGACTCCCGAACGAAGGACTTCATTGAGTCCATCTGCTTCTGAAACATCGACTCCATTAGAGACATGTCAAAACCACTCGAAGTGGTAGGAGAGGGGAAGAGGCCACGGGATTTTTCCTTTTGGGCCGCCCGTTTAGATTTTGGCGGGGAACCTGCGTCAGGTCCCCTCCGCCTCCACGCATCTCGCGGTAAAACAGGGTGTCGGCCGCCCGCCTCTTCTGTGCCCGGGGGGAAAAGGCCAGACAAATTGAACATGTATCAGCCACATGGCCCGTCTTCTCCAGACAGGCCACGCATTGGGAGTGACTGTCAGCCCGGGGAATACTTCCCCCACAGACCGAACAACAGGTAAAAGCCTGAAACAAACACGTAAACATGTTAGTTAACTTGTGGCCAGAAGCAGAGAAACACGTAGAAAACATTGAAAAATACGTGAAGGTTACCACGGAAAGTAATAGTTGGTTTTAAAGCGCAATATTACGACCGCGGCACGCTAAACTTCCCGCCATGGCAGAGCAAACTTGCGTAAACCACGGGAAAGTTTGCGTATTTTGATAGTACTTATACAAAGTCACAATTATGAAACAACCACTGTAAGGCTTTACTGTTATTGTTTTAGACAAATAAAAACCAAACATACAGGTGGTGTCTCAGACATCTTAAAATACAGCGCCGTACGGCTCATGAAAGGTAATCACAACGAACGTCTGTTCAGGGCCGTGACAGCAGAAGGAATGATGATACGGGTCTAGGAGCCTACCCAGTTGGTGCGCATGCGCTAAGGGAGGTAACTCCGTGAGGTAGGGTCCGTATAATAAATAAAAGAGTTTATTTATTGTACAATCTTTTTATTCAAAAAACATTGATACAACTGTCACAGGACATTTTACAGCCGGAAAATGCATAATATGTACCCCAAGGACGATCTCTCTGAAAAAGAATTGTAAACACTGTTCAATATCATGCACAGTATTTTCTAGTTTTCCTTGGGGTTCGGACACAATGCCCTGTTCAGTATTCCAATTAAAGCCAAGCCAATCCAAGTTTTGCGTCGGTAACCATACCTCCTGTTGCCCTGTACGTTGATTGACGTGAGCTAGTGAAGGCCCATATGGACGACTTGAGCTGCTGCTGCGGCCCCGGCAATGTTTCCTGAGCGCTTTCGCTTCAGCTCTCTCAAACCGACGTTCTTCATCAGAGTCGGAAGCGACGCCACTCCCTTCCAGTTCGTTTGACAATACCCCAACCAGCTGGGTACTTGTCCGCTAAACGGATAAGCTTGCTCCGTTTTTAACAGAGACGTTGATGATGTTGTAAGTAAGAGTAACCCTACTGTTGACAGTTATGTTGCTGTCACTGACATTGATGTTGCTGTCACTGACACAGATGTTGATGTTGTAAGTAAGAGTGACCCTACTGTTGACAGTGATGTTGCTGTCACTGACATAGATGTTGATTGTGTTGTAAGTAAGAGTAACCCTACTGATGACAGTGATGTTGCTGTCATTGACGTAGATGTTGATGGTGTTGTAAGTAACAGTTACACTATTGATAGCAGTTATATTGCTATCACTGACAGATGTTGATGATGTTGTAAGTAACAGTAAAACTATTGATAGCAGTTATATTGCTATCACTGACATAGATGTCGATGGTGTTGTAAGTAACAGTAACACTATTGATATCAGTGATGCTGCTGTCATGGACATACATGTTGTTAATGTCATTGATGTAAATGTCGATGATGTTGATAATGATGTTGAAGGAAATGATAATGATGTTGATAATGTTAATGACAATGATGGTGACGAAGATGTGGTGAATGATGGTGTTCGTTCAACAATTCTAAATTGTCTCTCTGTGAATGTATGTGGACTTAGAAAAAGATTAGAATATAATGAATTCGTATCCCTGATTGCAGAAAATCACATTGTGGGCTTTCAGGAGACTAAAACTGATTTTCTTGATGAGATTGATATTGAAAACTTCACAGTTTACCTTAAGCATCGACAAAAGGCATTAAGAACATCTGGTGGATTAGGGATTGCAGTTAGAAATAATCTTAAGGATTATATATCTGTTGTAGAAGATGACAATGAGTATGTGCTTTGGATCAGTATGTAAGTTACTTGTAAATATTAATCAAGACTTGTACTTTGGTTGCGTATATATACCCCCAGAGGGCTCGAGATATGTGCATCATGATGTATTTACAGAACTTGAGACATCAATCCTTAATCTTGCTTCAGTGAGCGATTACATTATTGTGTTTGGAGATTTTAACGCAAGGACTAGAAATTTGAGTGATTTTAGTGCATTTGATGAACACATTATAGATGAATTTGGACTAGACTTAAATGAACTGAATATTGAACTTAAGCCACAATTGGTTCTAGACGAACTGAACCTACCTCATGAGAGATCAACAAAGGATATAGATAGGACAAATAATTTTGGAGTCAAACTTATCGACATGTGTAAACATCTTAATTTACTAATATGTAATGGTCGTTTGGGAAAAGATCATAAGGTTGGTAAGGCAACCTGTAAAGACAGATCTGTGGTTGATTATGTTATAACTACTCCCCTCTGTCTATCACATTTTACAAATTTTGAAATCTTAGATTACTCACCCCTATTTTCTGATGTGCATTGCCCCGTAAAGTTCTCATTCAAGGCCACAATTCCCCAGACAGATATGCAAACACATCCAAAAGGTAATCCAGATAGAAATCCATTTGAAAGTAGAAAACAGAAACGATATGACTCTGATTTATCCTTCACATTTCAAAACAACATCAATCAAGGCAAGGTGTGTGAACTGATTGAGCGCGCACGTGCAGCGCGTGGATCACAGGTAAATGAACAGGTGATCAACAGCGTGACTCGTGATATCGGGAATGTGCTTATTGACGCAGCCTGTACAACATTTGGAGAAAAGAAATATATAAAATTAAATGCCATTCATTCAAAAAATACGGATAAGCCCTGGTTTGGTCAAGAATGCCGGAACAGTAGAAAATTATTCCAAAAAGCCAAATATAAAGTTAAAAAATCAAATTCAGCTATTGATAGAGCACATTTTCGACTAATGTCAAAAAAAACTATAAAAAATGTTTAGATAAACACATACGAAACTATCAACATCAAATAAATGATCTATTCCGGAAGAATAAGAAGAGCTCGCCTAGAGAATATTGGAAAATGCTCAACAAAGCGCACGGTAAACAAACTGAAAATACCCCCTGATGTTGACACTTTTTACAAATATTTTGTTGGAATAAGTGAGGAATTCGAACCGAACGAGGCTGATCTCGACGAGAAATTGACTGAGACATGTATTTTCAATATTGAGACCCTTAACAGCGACATTTCACGAGAAGAAATAAAACTTGCAGTAAAACAAATAAAAAGAAATAAAGCATCGGGCGTTGATTTAATCGAAAATGATTTTCTGATTGACTCAACAGATCTACTTATGCCTCTGTTTTTAGAACATTTCAACCTTGTACTATCATCGGGTATTCTACCGGAGTCGTGGGTTACTGTCGTTGTTAAGCCAATCTATAAAGGTAAAGGGTGTAAACTGGATCCCAACTCGTACAGACCTATAACAATTTTAAGTTGCCTTGGTAAACCTTTTACAAGAGTGTTAAATAACAGACTGAATACATTTTTAGATACTAACAATATACTTAACCCAACACAGGCAGGCTTCAGACAAGGGTTCTCAACATGTGATAACATTTTTACTATGCAAATGATGATCCAAATACTAAAACTCTCTAAAAAGAAACTATATACGGTATTTGTAGATTTCACTAAAGCATTTGATAAAGTCTGGAGAATTGGGTTGTGGCATAAACTAACAAAAACTGGGATAGATGGGAGATTTTTCACACTCATAAGAAATATGTATCACAACATAAAATCTAGGGTAATGATTGGAAATACCTTATCAGATGAATTCCCGTGTTACGAGGGTGTGCGACAAGGTGAAAACCTGTCGCCCCTTTTGTTCTCGATATACCTAAATGATCTTGAACAACACCTCCTTGATAGTAGTTGTACTGGTTTTAAATATGAAACGCAAACTAACAGCATCGACCTCTTATACCATTTTATTATATTGTTATATGCAGATGACGCTGTACTGTTCAGCGAAAATCCAAATGATTTACAAAAATCCCTGAATGTCTTCTTTCATTACTGTAAGAAATGGAAACTTAAAGTAAACTTATCTTAAACGAAAGTTGTTATCTTTGGAAGCGGCCCCGCGAAATCTTCGAAACTCCACTTTACCTACGGAACTGAAACTATAAATATTGTAGATACATACGATTACCTTGGAATTAAATTCCATAGGAATGGGCGATTTGTCCAAGCAATTAAATCACTTACGGAAAGCGCCACCAAAGCAATGTATTGTCTTTTAAAGAAATCCAGGAATGTTAATTTACCTTTAGATTGCCTTTTCGATGCATTTGATGTTATGGTCGTTCCAATTCTATTGTATGGCTCAGAAATACGGGGACACGAGAACTTAGAAATAATAGAAAGAATTCACTTAAAATTTCTGAAATTAGCTTCCGGTTTGAGAAATAGCACCCCAAGTTATATGCTTTACGGTGAATTTGGAAGAGAGCCTTTGAGTATTAAAATCTATAAGCGATTTATTTCACATTGGCATAAATTAGCCTCTGAGAACACATATTGGAAGCCATCCCAGATTATATATAACTGTGTTAACCACATCTGTGACAATACAAATAAAGTTCCATGGCTACGTTTTGTGAAATATATCCTTGATAACTGCGGTCTATCCTACGTGTTTCTAAATCCGTCTGTATGTTCTACGCCCTGGCTTGTCTCAATGGTCGAAAACACCTATAGAGCCGAGTTTTTCCAAAATTGGAAGTCAAATGTTGATTCTAGTTCCAAGGGGGATTATTATAAATATTTCAAAACTCAACCAATCTTAGAAAAATATCTTCTTCCCAAAAATATATACTACCCAATTTTGAAGTTTAGAACATCTAACCATAAATTACCAATTGAGACAGGCCGATGGTTGGGCATTCCACGTGAAGACAGACAATGTCCACTTTGTGAATCAAACGCTGTTGGAGACGAGTTTCACTACTTGTTTAGATGTGAAGCTTTTCTCCAATTCCGACGTCAGTCTCTGAACACTAAATACCTAGAATTTCCAAATTTGTCCATCTTTAAGAAACTCTTGTCTACTACCAGCATAAGCGACCTTAAAGGCCTTTCTAAATTACTGAACCATGTATTTAATGCATTTAAAAAATGAAATATTGTAATTATCTTATATCTTTCTATCGTGTAAGCTGCTGTCTTGTATATTATGTAAATGTATATACGTTTATCTCATGTACCGCCGTTGGCGGTTTGTAGAGAATAAAGAGTTTGAGTTTGAGTTTGAGACAGAGAGAAAATCAATTTTTTCACACATATCAGTAGTATCTTTCTTGTATTACGATGACTTAATGATGTCTAGACCGTCCAAAATCTCTCAATTAAACTTGTATTGCACAGAGTTCCCTTTATATTTGAAGTCAGGCCCCGATTTCTCAAAACAAACTTAAGTTTTACTCAAATTTTAAACTGAGTTTGACAATTTGAAACAGCTGAAGTTTTAACTCAACTGCCTTTTAAGATAAAAAAGCCCAAACAACTTAAGTAATCTATCCACCAAACTCAAATTATATACTATGTTTGAGTTTAGTATCGATTTCAGTTCATTCTGGGAAATGCATTCTCCTGTGTTTTCTTAAATTTGAGTAAAAAACTCTAACTTAAGTCAAAACTCAGACTTAAGTTTGTTTCGAGAAATCGGGGCCTGGGTATTTATCATATTTCACTTTCTTGGCGATAGACAAAGACAGTTGCTCTGATTCACTGATAAATTCTCTCTTAAGTGTAGACAGTTTAGCATCTAAATAATCCCGGATCAGTTGAAAAGACTGAAAGTCGTCACCTTTAGGTTGTTCCGAACGTTTAGGAGAAGCAGAGTCTTGTACACCGTCATCCGAAGAGTGCTCCATGTTTGCAGATACAGCCGAGACACGCAACAGCAGTCCTGCCCCGTCAGTCGTGAATCTCAAGTGCCTGTTGCACGTGCAATCTACCCTTTTATAACACACCCATCACGTGACTTGTTGCACGGACTCAAGTTCATCTGTACTGAATACTCTCGAACCCAAATACACAACCACGTATTAGTAAATATATATTTTAGGTCTCGCCCTTCCAGGGCTTT